TTATGCTCTATCTGTGTTTTGTTTGGAGATTCCATTTCTTCTGTTTCTTCTTTTTTTAGCTATATGTCTTGTTTGGGGGATTTTTGTGTGTGGTTGCCATTAATTTTATAAAAAGCGAAGTTGCATATATACCATGGTTTTTTCCCTTTTAAGTGCATCTGATCTTCTCTTCCTTTACCTATTAATACCTGTCCCTCTTCCCTTTGTATGTTTTTGTTGTCACAAATTTATCCCTTTTATGCTACGAGTTTTTTGGCAATCCTACTGGTAGTGTTATGACCTTATGTTCTTTGTTTCTGGTAGAATAACTCCCTCCTGCAATAGAGGTTTTCTAGTGATAAAATCCCTCAGCTTCTGTATGTCTGAGAATGTTCTTATTTCTCCTTCATATTTAAAGGATAATTTTGCTGGATATAATATGTGTGGCTGGTAATTTCTCTCTCTTTCAGATATTTGAATATTTGGTTCCACTCTCTTCTGGCTTGTAGAGTTTCTGCTGATAAGTCAGGTGAAATTTTTATGGGTTTTCCTTTATAGGTTACTTCCTTCTTTTCCCTGGATGCTTTGAGGATTTTTTCTTTGTCACTAATTTTTGATAGCTTCATTACCAAGTGCCTTGGAGAGGGCCTCTTTGAATTGAGGTCACTAGGTGTTCTGTTTGCTTCTTAGATTTGAGGATCTAGTTCTTTCCATATATTTGGGAAGTTCTTATCCACTATTTGTTTTAATAGACTCTCCATTCCATACTCTCTCTTCCTCCTCCACTATGCCTTATGATTCTGGTGTTATTTTATTTTTTTATGGAAACCGGAGAGATCTCTAAGGGCTCATAGGGCTATTTTGTATTTATTTTTATCAAGTCTCTCTCTTCTTCCCTCTGCATCATTTCTTGATTCCTATCTTCAATATCACTAGTTATTTTCTCTAATTGGTTGGTTCTGTTTTCTATGCTCATCAGCTCACTCTTAATTTCTTTAATTGCCTGCTTCATTTCCAGGATTTCTGCTTGATCCTTTCAAATTTCAATTTATTTGGAGAAATACTTATTTTGTTCATTGATTTGTTTTCTGAGTGCTCTGAATTGCCCGTCAGTATTTTCTCACTTCTCATTGAGTACTAGAGGCCTGGTGCATGAATTCATGCACATTGAAAGGAAATTTATTAGAAGAAATATTTTAATATCGCTATTCACCCTTTCTCTATAATAGAGGTGTCAACCAAATTCACGATTGACAATAACAGATGGAAACACACGCGTGCGTTGGTGCCAGTGAGAGCTTTATATATATATAGACTAGAGGCCCAGTGCACAAAATTCGTGCACTGGAGGGGGGTGGGGAAGCCCCTCAGCCCAGATTGCGAGAGGGCACAGGCTGAGGGACCCCACCAGTGCACAGTCGGGGCCGGGGAGGGACACAGGAGGGCTCCAGGGCATGTCTGGCCCAGTCCCGATTGGCCAGACCCCAGCAGCAAGCTAACCTACCAGTCGGAGCATCTGCCCCCTGGTGGTCATTGCCCCTCATAGTGACTGGTTGACTGTCTGCCCTCTGGTGGTCAGTGCATGTCATAGCAAGCGGTTGAGCGGCCTTTGCATGTCATTAGCATATTATGCTTTGATTGGTTGACCAGACAACTGGACACTTAGTATATAGAAGGCCGACATTAACATTAGCTACCTGGACACAAACACTGACTTCTATATTGAAGGAGTGTCTTGTAAATCCCATGGCAACAGCCAATGGACCGGTAGGTTTTCAAGGTTGTGTCCGAGAAGTTATAAATAATCAAGAATTACAATTAACTGAACTAGGAGCGAAAGGTGGCTCAAATGTAGGTGACTGTGATGGGACAGCCTGTGGGTACACCGTGTGCAGAAATAGGGGTGAATGTATAGTAAATGGCACTTTTTTGTGCAGATGTCCGCCACACTGGACTGGAAACACATGTGACCCATCTGTGTACTGTTTGAATCACCTTTGTCTCCACCAAACTCTGTGTATACCTGACTGGCCGTTCTCTTACAGTTGTGTCCTTTGGGTTGGGTGGGAAGGTTTTGTGAAAGCAAAACTTCATTTTCATCTGCAAAATTTATGGGTAATTCTTACATTAAACACATTGATCCACACTATAGAAAAAGAAACCTCCAGCTCACTACTGTATCCTTTAATTTCAGTACTACTGAAAGAGCAGGCTTAATTGTGTGGATAGGAAAAGCTCAAAATGAAGAAAGTGATTTTCTGGCAATTGGTCTCCATAATCAGACTTTGAAAATAGCAGTTAACTTAGGAGAATGCAACTCTGTACCGATGATTTATAGCAATGGTACATTTTGTTGTAATAAATGGCACCATATCATTATAAGTCAAAATCAAACTCTTAGCTAGATGGCAAGCTAATTCTCTCTGAGGATATTGACCCACACAAAAAATTTGTTGCTCTGAACTATGATGGTATTAGTTACCTAGGGGGTTTTGAATATGGTCAAAAGATAAACATTGCTACTCAAGAGATTTTTAAAAGAAATTTTGTTGGTAAAATTAAAGATGTATTTTTTCAGGATTCAAACAAATGAGTTAATTGAATCAGAAGGGTACAATGTTTATAATGGAGATGAACACAATTAGGTTACACAAACTTATAGTGGTTACTTTAATATACTATATATGTAAATGTAGTTGCTTTGGTAGTTATTTCTTTAGCACATTATTTTGCTGAAAAACAACTGTTTACTATTATCTGAAATAGTCTAAATGCTAACACTTTTATAAGCTTATATAGCTAAAGAAAGATTCTGGTTGTTTTTCCGACATCCAATTTATCTGTAAGTATGTTGATTGCTAAATTTTTACTCCATTAGTTCATTCATTAGTTCATTTAGTGTTATTCATCTGTGAATTTTTTAAAAATAAAATTTAGGTGGGAATGAATTATTGATATACACAAAGAAAAATAAAATAAGCAAATGTTATTAAAAAGAAAATTACATAAGGAAATATTGTTACATAGCTCAGCTATAAATATTCACATGATCGGCAATGTGAAGTTTGAATATTGACTTAAAAATTACATGAATGTGGGAAGGTGGAAGGTGGGGAAAGGAGTTGGCTGGTGAGAGCTAAATCCTTATCTTCCACATTAAGTCATCAATAAATATTGGTTTTTATAACTATTTTTAAATAGCATATAAATATCACTTACAAATATGAAGGCAAATATCCTAATGTGTAAAATACTGAAGGTCAAGTCTACATGTCTCAAAATTGGGCAGAAAGAGAGGTTCTAAATAAAGCCATGGTAAATTATTTTCTTGATATCTATACTGTTAAAGGATAACTTGAGAAACTCAGTTTTGCCCAATATCAGTGGTGGATATAATTGTGAATAGCATTTCCACCCCACCTGTACTCCACCACCATTATTGCTGTTGTTACTTAACGTTTTGTTTGATATTTATAATTTTGCCAATGACAACACAAGAAAGCAACTGACAACACATGACTGATACAAAGCACTAACAGACAGGACTGTGGAGCAAAGAAGTTAGTAACAATCAGCATGTGACGTTTAAAAGGAAAAACAGTAATTATCTGTTAAACGGAGACTTTACAAAGAGGACTGGTGCAGTTTAACGTCTTAATGCAAAATCTGCCTGCATGGGCTCCAGCCTATACAAAGACACTAGGTAAGTCATTTGAAGAACTTTACAGGTAATTTTTTTAGCCTTACTTTTGCAATCAGAAAGCGATAGACATTCTTGGAAGGCCCTAGAACTAAAGCTGAGAACTTTGGCACTATTGCTGCTAGACATAACATTCTTACCATTGAAAAGTGTGTGAGCAAAATAGGAGGTGGGATTCCAGAATGGCTATATATTGATTCAAAGAGGGTGTTTGTTTGTTTTTAAAAGAAACCACAACTCTACCCAGTGTTTCCTGAAAAACTCGGACATTTATCTGCTTTGGTCCATACCATTTCATTTCACTCTTGAGATATTAAGATCATAAGGATAATTGCTCTAAAAAACTTCCTTGATAGTGATAATGAAATCTAACTTTTAAAGATACACATCTTGCCCTAACCGGTTTGGCTCAGTGGATAGAGCGTCGGCCTGCGGACTGAAGGGTCCCAGGTTCGATTCCGGCCAAGGGCATGTACCTTGGTTGCGGGCACATCCCCAGTAGGGGGTGTGCAAGAGGCAGCTGATTGATGTTTCTCTCTCATCGATGTTTCTCTCTATCCCTCTCCCTTCCTCTCTGTAAAAAATCAATAAAATATACATATAAAAAAAAAAGATACACATCTTATGGCAAGAAAGCTGTTAAGCCATTCTCTTCTCTATTGTTGGCATTATTTTCCTTAACATCTAAATATACTATGGCAGTGATGGCGAACCTTTTGAGCTTGGCGTGTCAGCATTTTGAAAAACCCTAACTTAACTCTGGTGCCGTGTCACATATAGAAATTTTTTGATATCTGCAACCATAGTAAAACAAAGACTTATATTTTTGATATTTTATATATTTAAATGCCACGTAACAAAGAAAAATCAACCAAAAAAATGAGTTCGCGTGTCACAGGTTCGCCATCACTGTACTATGGCCTTAGATGTTTTGTAAGTCCCAATTTTTAAGATTTATTAATTTACCCACAACTGAGCTACAATTAGTGAGTCAAGAGCTGTGATGAGTGGAATGGCCCCCAAAGTTGTCCACATCCGAATACCTGGAACCTGTAAATATGTTAGATTACATGGCAAAGGGGAATTAAGGTGACAGATGGAATTTAGGTTCCACCTTGGATTAGCTGGGTGGGCCCCAGGAATCACGACGGTCCTTTAAGGTAAAGAGGGAGCCTCAGAGACAGCAATTTGAGACTCAGGCCCATGTTGTTGGCTTTGAAGATGGAGGCAAGAACCGTAAGGCAAGGAAAGTCCGTGGCCCCTAGAAGCTGGAAAAAGCAAGAAAAAGGATTCTCCTCTAAGCCTCCAGGAAATGCACCCTCTGAGACATCTTGATCTCAACCTACTGAGACCCACAGCAGACTTCTGATTTACAGCAGTGTTAAGAGGATAAATTTGTGTGGTTTTAAGCCACCAACTTTGTAATAAGTTTGTCGTAACAGCAATAGAAAATAAGGGCTGCAGAATTAGGATTTGAGATGAAAATAAACTTTATAAATCTGTACAAGAGAACCCACAAGTTTTTGGTTACTTTTGAGGAATGGATTGCTCTGTAAAGGGTTTCAGGTAGCAGAATGGTGAGGAAAGGGCTGGGAAAGGTATATAATAACCAGGCTTGTCCCTCTCTCCTGCTCTCAATTCTCAGAGCACAGCTGCCACACATAATGACTTTGGAGAAAAATAGAACTGAGCTAGAATCCCAGCCCTGATCACAGCAGTCTAACCTTTCCAAGCACCAGTTTCCTCGGTTCTAAGATAAATCTTTACCTTTCAGGCTGAACAAGGTTTACATAAAGCACTCGGCACAAGGTTTGCAATAGAGGGTTTGTGGAGGCTTTCTTGTTGCCACAAGGGGTGGACTTTATAGGTACTGAGACACCCTGGTACATTTTATTTCAACAGAGGTATGTATAAAACTGGCATCAAACTTTTCAAAGAGCAAGTTTTTCTTAAAACAGGAGAAGTAACGATGAACTTCATATAACTCGGTAGTTTGTAGAAGGCTGGCTTTGAGACTTAAGGACAGAGAATGGCTTTGGATCTACTACTCATTGAAAACTTTTATTTCCCCCTACATTCCTCAGAAGTTAAAACCTTAGAGTCCACATGCCCATACTCTCCCTACTTGCCAGTTTCAGTGAACCAGGGGTTAGGAGACATGGTTCGAATCCTTAGTAGTCCCATAATCCCAGGAGATGGTTATCACTAATAGGGGCCTATAGAGGATGTGACAAGATCCAATGAGAGATGAATAAATAACTTTAAAGTAAGCATCACAACAATGTGTGTAAGGAACTAGTTAAGAGGCAAGCAAAACTGATTTTAAGGTTTTCTTCACTGGTTAACCCATTCTTGTACTTTGCAAAAAAAAATCTGATGTCTGAACAACCTCCTACCAGATCAGTAAAATCAGATTTACTAAACAACATACATATTTGAAATCAAAAGGCTAATTTTGGAGGATTTGGGTTGGTTGGGGTTTTTTTTTTTTTTTTGGGGGGGGGGGGGGAGTGGCAGGGGGAATTCCTGACAATTTTTTCCTGATTGTGCAAAAGATGACCCACCAAATTAAGTTTTGTTTACACTGTTTTTAAATAAGTTAGTTTCCAAAAGAAAAGCAGACCAAAATTAAACAAATTTTATTTAAATACAAGTCCTCTGTTTCAGAACTTTTATGATGAAAAACTTCAGAGAATAAGGATGACAAAAAAGATGCAAATTGTTGAAATTAGACAAAATGTATGGTTTTGAATTTCCACTCCTTCTTTCGCTAGAGGGAATAACAAAGTTGATTCCATTTCAAACCTATTTTTAACTCTAATCCTTGGACTTTTTAGGAAATCAAACATTACCTTCTTAATTTTGTGAAGCCATTTATATTTTTCTTCATTAATATAGGTAAGTAAAAATACCGGTTTCTCTTTTTTTTGTTGGCCTCAAGTATTAATCACGTGGTAGCCACTGCTTTAAATTATGTCAATACATGTGTAGTTTAAATTGTAAATAACTTTATATTTGAATTAACAATAGCCTCCATATGCTTTCTATTTCAAGCAAAACTGCAGTTACCTCCAAAACAAATTAGGGTTAATTACACATTTTACAAAGAGATTCACAACACGTTTCTCGTAAATTTCTAGTCTCACCATGATTAGTCGGCGTACCAAATTTTGAGAGTGACAAGTCTTCAGAAACATACCTACAAAGTGGGCTATTTGCTGCAGTTTTTCATTGGTAGTTCAAAATTCTACCCCTTCAGAACATGATTTTTATCAGAAACCTCTAATAGGTGAGGTTTTCCCTTCACCTAATGCCTGACACAGATAGCTATGCTTGTATGTATGTTCTTGGCTGAGTAAAAAAAAAAAGTATGAAAGTAATCAAAGTTTTAGAGAAGAAATTCTTTTACTGAATTTCAAATCACACAAACAAAATAGGTGAGAAATTCTTTTTATCATATTTAGAATCAAAATATCCCTTAAAATATTTACATTTTACAGTAAAAAGGATAGCAAAACACAAGATCATGTACAAGCTTAAGTATTCAAGTTCCTGAAGAGGCAAAAAGGAAAAGGAAACTACTGGTCTACCACAAAGCTGTCATATACATGGTAATAAATGCCTTCAGGGAGTGCAGATTAAAGCAGTAAATGTTCTCCTTGGGCTTCTGATTCTTGATCAGAAACTGCCCAATAAACTGATTAATATAATCTGATTATGAAGTTGCTTGTCTTTGTGTTGCTTCTCTAGTTTCTTTAAAAACAGTGCAATTTAAAACAAACTTACAGAGTACACATTACTCTCAAATTAGTCATAAAGAACATTCACTAGAGGCAGTAAATATATTCCAGAGTTAACTATATTTACCAATTAAGGAATAAAACTAAAATTTCTAAGCCTTTATTGCATATTAAACAAATCTTTGAATATACAGCAATGTAAAACTTTTAAAAATATTCCTGTAACTAGGACAGTTGGTATGAAGAAGGGACGATGAGCACTGGTACAGAGCACTCCGCACCAACACATGGAATTCATTGTTCTGCAAACCACCAATGGTAAGTCTGAAAGATGGCACAATCCTAGCAGGCAATCAAAGTTTTTAAGATGCAACATTTAACAATGACTTAAGAGTAATCTTGAAGCAGCTGGCAGATTTTACCTTTTGCTTTTAGCTCTGTCAGTGTGGTCCCTATCTTTGTGGTACCTATCTCTGTCCTTTTCTCCTTCTCTATGTTTACTTTTCTCTCGTTCTTTGTCCTTTTCATGGTCTTCACTTTTAGGTTTGTCTGGTTTCTTACCATCTCTGCTTGCTTTTCCATCTGCTCCGCGATCACTGTGTGACAACCGTGGCCTCTCTTTCTCTTTGTGCCCTTCCTCCCTGCTTTTCCTGTCTCTGTCCTTGTCTTGGGATCTGTCCCTGCGTCTATGCCTTTCAGATTCTTGCTCCCATTCCTTTTCATGTCGCTCTCTCTTCACGTGGTGTGAATCACTATAAAATCTCTGGCGATCCCCTTTGCCCCTATTAAATGACCTATCCAGTTGCTGTTGGTCTTGCCTATTACCCCAAGGGTCACTATGGCGCCTTTCTGGTCTTCGAATGTCTTTAGCCTGGTAAAAATTTTGTGGGCCTACATATCTTGATGTTTGTGAAAGGGGACCCATCATACGTTGAGGTTGGCCTGTCAGGTGAACAGGTGGCCAGGGAACTATGGGAGTTTGAGCAAAGCCAAAGCCGGGAGGGGGGAGTAATGGGGGTGGCAAATGTGGTGGAAATCCAAACATGCCTTGTGGGGGGAAATTAGGAGGCCCCGGAAATGGAAATCCAGGGGGACTAGACTTGAGATGCTGAAGGTTCGGTTGCTGTGGCCTCATGGGTGAAAAGTTTGCACTTGCTCTGGGACTGCTGCTTCTGGAGGTAAAGTTGATGCTTTTAGAAGGAAATTCTGATTGACTTGTGTTTTCAACTTCAAAATGAGATGTTGCTGCCGATCCTCTTCGAAACGGGTGCACAGTTTCAATATTTTGCATTGAAATATTCTCCTCTGAGGGTTTTGCTTGTTCTGTTTGCGAAGTGTGTTTGTCTTCTGATGCCAAGTTTTGTGCAACCCCTGAATTATCACTCTGCTGAGCACTTGAGTTTTTCTCTACGGAAGACAACTTTTCCTCTACATTGGTTTGTTCTGGTAAGTGCTCCTTGTGTGACGGCCCGGGCGGGGTGTGCTTTTCTCCATTCCCACAACTATCTCCTTCTTTGCTTTCTGAAGCAGTTACCTGCTGGCTTCGTCCTGCTGCCTGCCTAGGATCCCTTTTTAGATTGATGAACTGTGGGGACTTGGCTGTGTTGGCAACAAGGTTTTCACTGCCACTCACACTACCCTCTGTGTTTCCTTTTCCTATATTCGACCTGCATGGAGAACTAGTATCTGAAGTCTGATTATCTTGCAAATTATTCTCTTGATCTTGCAGCAGCTGTCGTTTTAATGGTCTCTCTTTACTCTCCACAGCTTCCTCTTGTTTTGACTGAATGGATAAATTTGTTAGGAAAGCTTCTGTAGAAACATCTGGTGGTTTGCCTCTGAGACTAAGACTCGCCGAAGGTCCAGGAGAAATGGAGGAGGGCCCCGTTACTGGGGTTTCTTCGTCTACTGGTACCGAATTACCTGAAGATTCTGAAAGATTATCTACTTTACCCTTTACCTCCTTGGCTTCACCATCCATTGCTTCTACTTTATCTACGTTCTCTGCTTTGGGGTCAGCTTGCTCACTGATAAATGGAATTTCGTTGATAGTGTTTTGTTCTGTCACTGACTGAGCCTGTTCAAATACTTCACCAGTAGTGCCCAAAAGGCTCTGAAGTATGTCGTCCACAGGAAGAGGCTTATTTGCTAATTCCAGAGTGGAAGGCTGATTTTCCCAGCCAATCAATACTCCAGGAAGGAATCTTAAAGGTTTTGGTGGCTCCTGTTTGGTGACTTCCACTAAAGGTTCCACTACAGCTGGAAGGTCTTCTTGAACAGCTTGCTGAGGCTTAGTTCTCTGCTTGTGTAATACAGTTGTGAAAGAATTGAAAAAGTCATTTTCTTCCTCTGGTGCCTCCTCTGTGGAAACTTCCATTTTACTTTTTTTTTCAGGTGGCAATGCTACCGGTACACTTTCAGAGTTCTCAGCAGTATGGCTGGCACTAGCACTGTGTTGCCGCTTCAGTTTTTGGCGAACAATTAAGCCCAACAACAGATTAGGTCTATGCAGTTCAAGCCCTGCATAAAAAACATATAAATTAAGTCACTTTCAATTCCTAAAATAAAGGGTAAATTGCTCTGGCCTGGTAGCTA